CTTTGCTCCCCTTTTTCTAATTAGGCACACAGGCCCCTCAGTCTCCACTGTCTGGTGATGGGGACAGAAGCAGCAGGTGGCTGTCCCTGCCCAGGTGTGGCCAACACCTGCCTCCAAATGGGCTCTCCTCCCTGTATCCCCTGCTTTGAGGACACAAGGGCACATTCGGCCCTCAAGAGGCTTGCATTTCTGGAACTGAAGGGAAAAGTGCCCGCCCTGCCTTCCCCACAGGCCCGGGAGCCCCTCCTCCACGGGCTCAGCCGCCAGCTCCCACGTGGGGAGGGAGGAGCCGAGCAAAGGGAGCCCAAGGCCTTTGGAGATACTGGAGCTGTGTTTCCAGGGCACAAGCGCTGATGAGGGACAATGAACAAGTGGTAATATGTGTCAAGTGTACAACGGGATGGTTGGCTATGTGCACACGTTGTAAAAGGATTCCCACATCAGGTTAATTAACACACTGGTCACTTCACCTCGTTACCTCTTTCTCCTTCTTTCTTTTTTGCTGAGAATGCTGAAGACCTACTCTTAGCAAACTGCAGGCACACACTCCAGTACCATCAGCCGAGGTCACCACGTTGTATGTTAGGTCCTCGAGACTTACTGGCCTTACACCTAGCCGTCTGCACCCTGTGACCAGCACCTCCCCCCCGGGTCCTCCTGTCCCCCGCAGCCCCCGTTCTTCTCTCCGGTTCTTTCTTCTAAGTCGAAGCTAATTGTCAAGGCCAATCACAGGATAGAAGTTAAAGCAAGAGTTCATCAGGATAATTGCAAAAGTGTAGCAACACCGCTAAAACAGGAAATCTGAGACAAAATAGAAATGAATTAAAACCTACGGGGCCAGGTAAAGAAGCCAAAGATAGAATCTGAAGTTCTCTATTAGAAATTTCATCCTGTTCTGGGACATGCGTTCTGTTTGAGCGCATCCCGTCTCCATTCTAAGAACGTACCTAAAAAGGAGACGGAACCGCAGGTGTGTGTGCTGACGACGGTTTTGTCTGGGGCCCCGTTTTAGCTGGGCTCCAACAGTTCCCGACCTTGTCTGCCAGCATTCCCTTGAACTCGTTACAGTTAATTACGTGACTTTTCTTCACATCGCATTTTAACTCGGGAAGACGTGGGGGACGTCCGGGTCTCTCGAGGAGGTTTGCGAACTGGCCCACCCTCCCTAGAAATAGACCGACAAACTCCCGCGGGCCAGTCGTGCATACCCTACCCTCCTTTTTGAGCTTCAGAGGATGGCGTTCTCATCCCTTCTTCAACATCCAAAGGATATTTGGAGTCAATAGAGAGATGGAATAAGCCACACATTGACTTGTATTTATCCTTTGGGTTTTTAAATAAGTGTAAGGAGTCGTGTGACTGTTTAAGATGTTTAATTCTGCCTTTCAAGCCCTGATGAAAACCACCGAGTGAGAGGACAGTCCTGTGTGTGGAGACGAGGGCTGGGGTGGCGGGCGGAAGGCAGGGCAAGTCCTGAACAGGCCGAGTGAGGACGCCTGGGCGGGCAGCCCCAAGGTCCCCCACCCCGCGGCCATGAAGTCCCACCGGAAACGAACAAGACCACAGACACACGGGACAGCTGGAGGGCAGGTAGGAAGCGCAAATGCAAACAGGCCAGAGCTGAAAACAAACCTAGGATTAATTACAAATGAATTAAACCTACCAGCTCAAATTAAACACCCAATTTTGCGTTTGGCATTTACAATTCGTTACCGTTCTTATTTGTGTTGTGTGTTTGCGTCTGTGTTTTCAGAACATACTTCATTTGTATTTTCTCAATATTGACTAGGAAACTTCTTTTTTAAAAAGAAGTCCACGTGATAGTTTCTATCTGTAGAACTGGTCTGGCAAGCCACGCTCCCCGAGAGTCGCTCTCCAGTCTTGGTCGCCAGCGGCACACCCGGGAGAGTCGGAGGCAGCATGGCTGGGCACCAGCACCTTCTCGGGCAGCTCGGCGAGTCTGAGGGCCAGGGAAGCTGGAGAAGCATCACCCCAGAGAACGGCCCCCTCCACGCCATGCAAGTGACGTAGGTGTAACTGATGCTTGGTGCAACAACCCTCTTACCTATCTCCTTCATTCATAATCGGGGACCCAGTGATACATAAGGAAAGTCACGTGACTAATGAGAACTCCTTGGGAAGCTTTCCTGCCCTCGAGTCACTTATCTGGGGAACCTGGTGGGAAGACAGAGCATGCCCACAGAGAGCTCATCACTAACACCAGGCAACCCGGGCTGGGGAAGGCTGGGGGAGGTCCCACCTGGCACAGAACTACGAGGTCAGACAATTAAGAGCCAGGGCTGCAATGACCAGGGCCGGCTTTTCAATAAAAATGAGCCTGGAAGGAAACTCTAAGACACAAGCAGGACAGGCCCAGACGTGTGCTTGGAGGCGAGTTACAGGAGACAGAGGCTGTGATTGGAGGTTGCCAGGCAATGGCCGGGGTTCCTCCCTCTGCAGTAGCAAGATGCTAATTAAAAGTTGCCTCAGGCACCATCTAGTTAAAGCTCAAAGAACAGAAAAGTTTTTTTAAGAGTCCATAAAATTTAGGACCAACTTAATTTTTATTCACTGTGAATCACTGCAGGAACCAGAATAGACCTAACACATTGTTGCTGGGAGTGTTTCGGACTCACGACACACTCTTAGCTGGAACCAGAAAGGTGATAAAACTAAGGAAGGTCTCAGGCCTCCAGCCCCACTTGTGGTTGCAGCTCCGCCCCCCCAGCTCACGACAGGAACACCTCCAGGAACAGGAAGTCAGCAAGACCCTGAGGACTGGGTGTAGCGTAAGTCAAATGCGTGGGGTCTGTCGTGGGAATAGGCAGTCCCACCCCTGAACCTGGGCAACCAGGGCCTCTGCCTCGGTTCCACAGTTTAGAGACTCTTACTGCCTCCTCCTCCCCATGGTTACGCCCCACCCCACAAGGTGAGGAGTCCACAGAGGTAGAGACGTGCCCCCCCGCCCCGGAGTCTGTGACCTCCCTTCCAGATAGCGCTCTGGGTCTCTGAGACACTGGAATTTCCTGCCCTTCACAGGCCTCCTCCCCGTGGTCCTATTCCCAAAGGTGCACGGTGCCACAAAAGGGGACACACTGACCCAAGGGGTGGCCAAGGGGATACTGTTGGGAGAGAGTGTGGGCAGAGCTTGGACATTTGGGCAAAAAGCACGAGGCTCCTATAGTGAGAGAAGGAGGGGAAGAGAAAGAAGGTACTTTAGAAGGACCTCGATTTCTACTCTTGCCTGAACCTTGAAAACATTAGGGGAAGACACCAAAGATTCCCAGCATCTTGGGACTGTGACATTCCACCACAACCACCTTCTTCATGTCCCCCCTCACTCCCTGTCCAACAACCAAAGGTTGGGCGACACCTCACATTTCCATGAAGAGAAAGGCATTTCACTTTATCCCTGGGGAGGGAACCCCAAAACTCTCTCCGTTCCCTCTCTGCGCCCTCCTGGTTCTCCAGAAAGACTTGGCTCATGGACAATCTTGGAGAACCATCTATGAAGGCCGAGTTCAGGCCTGTCTGGGCTTTCTTAGAGACCCTACCAGCCTGCGACCATCACCCTGTCTCTACCCTGGCAGGTCTGTAGACTCAGTGTGGGGCGGAAGGAGAGGAGAGCCGGCATGCGGCCACAGACCTGGCTGCGCTCTCCACCCCAGCAGCGATCACAGACCTCTCTGGCGGCCATCGCAAGGTCATCTTCACACGTGGTGACGCGTAGCCAACTCCAGCAGTGCCGGCTCTGCACTGGACCGCTGACGGGTAACAGGCAACAGGAAGTGAAAAGGGAGAAGGAAAGAGGAAGCGGTTCCAGAGAGAAGATAACTGGAACAGGGGATAACGAACAAACTGCAGTGGGCAACCAGGAAGATAGCAGCCGAAGGAAATCGCTCTGAAGAGAGTAGAGGAAAGGAAGATTGAAAAGGGAGCTGGGTACAGCGGGACTCGGTGTAGGCCGCAAACGGGAGGGAGAAGTGTTGGCACCCAAAAGGACTGCAGGGGGGCAGATATAACCCACCCAGGAACCAGGAACGGGAACCCGAAAGAAGGGCCGCTTGCTTCCAAAGGCCAAGGCTGCCACGGGGTGTAGAAGTCTATCCTGTAAAGCGTGGTCGAGCCGCACGCCGTGGCCCAGCTGCACGCCCGTCGTCCACCTACTACCCGTGTACGCCTTGAAACCTGGCCCTCCCCGCAGTGTGAGCAGAGGAACTTTAGTGTGAGGGACGGCTGGCCCGACGGGGCTGTGCGTGTGAGCCGGGAAGGGACCACAGTGCAGAGCTGGGCCACAGTGCAGAGCTGGGCCGCAGGCCCAGAGTTAGCACCTGAGTACAAGGACAACTCTCCCGGGGCCTGTAGGGGGAGGCGAGGACAGCGGCCCGAGGGGACCGCCCATTCCTGCCAGACGCCCGGGCGTGTACGCTCATCTGCGGTACACGATGGTTTGGGAAAGGAGGGTCGGTCCACGTGGTGTCAGAACTCCCTGCTCCCACCTTGGAAGACACCTCGGATATGATAAAACTAACACTGGAGTTCGTGAAACCACACATCCAGGATGGCGAGTACCCAAAGCGGGAGGGAGGGATTCGTGCACAAAGGCATGGAAGAAGCGAAAAATGAGGAACAGAGAGAAAGAGTTCGAGAGTGTCCTTGGAGAGAAGACGGCTTCAATGGAAAAAAGAGAGAAAAAACAGAAGCAGGGAGATTGCCTTCAACGAAAGGACAGAAAGGGCAGAAGGGCAGAAGGACGGAGGGAAGGAAGGGAGGGAGGGGGGAAGGAGGGAAATGATTAGGGAGGTAAATAGGGAAGCCAGGAAAAGGGGAAATAAATGTTCTTAAGTGAAACTGTCCTCAGCCATGCAGAAACGAGGGTGTCCTCTGCATTTCATTCAGCCCCTCTGTTGGTTGTTTTGTTCTAAAGAGCAGCAGGGAATGTCAAACAGCTGTTTTTACAGGCTCGGTCACCGTGTCCGGGCGGCCCGTGCGGTCTGCGTGCTTGCTCGGCAGACGGCGGCGCGGGTGGCCGGGCCCCCCGAGAGGATGGGCCAGGTGTGCAGGCCGCCGGGCGGGAGCTGGGGCCTGGCCCCCTGGGACACTGCGAGAGACAGAGAGAGAGAGAAGCAGACACTTGAGGCAACATTTTTCTTTTTTGATTTGAAATATGAAAGAAAAAATCCAGTTCCTGACTGGGTCAGGGCGGGGTGGGGGGAAGCACCTAGGGATAACCTTCCCTCAGCGGCAACAGCACAAAAACACAAAACTGGAAGTCGGGTGGCGTGACTTAGGCCCCAAGTCCCCCACTTCTGAGCTATGCAAACTTGGGCTGGTTGTCCCACCTCTGCAAGCCTCAGTTTGCCCGTTTGTGAAATGGGGATAATTTGCCGCAGGGGTCTCATGAGGATTAAATGAGGTAATAATATGGCACACCGCCTAGAACATAGTAGGCACTCAGTGAATATGTTAAAACCCCATGTTTGGTTAAAACAAAAGAAAAGGAAGGAAAGGAGGGTGGGAAGGAGGGAGGAAGGAAGGGGAGAAAGAAAGAAGAGAAAAAGAGAGAGGTGATAGATAGAGAGAGACCCAGAGAGATACCGAGATAAAGATCAGACCCAGGAAAGTCCTTCAGGTGGCCCGCGGCTTGTGATGCCCGCAAGGAGGGACCTGCACGCTCCCTCCTCTCCTCCCGCTCCTGGCCAGTAGAGAGGCCATGGGGTGGTCACGAAGGTGGGCCCTCCTTTCTGTCTCCCCTCCCAAGCCCGAGTCCAGCAGAGGGCTTCATCCCAGCAGCGGCCTGAGGAAGGCCCTTTTCCATAGTCACTGTACCACTTCGCGTGTGTCTGCGGGCGGGGGTGAGGGTGGCGGGGAGCGTGAGGACATGCGGGGGAGGACACTAGGAAGGGGAAGGGACGGAAGTGCCAGGTTGTAAAGGGAGACGGCAGCCGGTCGAAGGTGTGGTCAAGGTCGTGGTCAAAGGTCAGGGATTAGGGCCCTTTCCTCACAAGACCAGGGGCTCCCGCCATCTCATCAGCGCCTGGTTTTCATCATGCTTACCCCAGGAGACAAATGCGCGTTTCCCTGGGGCTTGGACCGTCACCCAGATGTGTCCCGCGGCCGAGCCTGAGCTTGGCCGGCCCGGCCTGCGTGGGGCAGCCTTGGAGCCTGCTCTCGAGACCACCTTCACTTGGGCCCCCCCAGAACACTTCCAGGGCCAAGAGCAAGCAAGTTCAAGGTTATAAATCAAGCTAACAAACTGTGAGCTAAAATATACTCTCTCCTTGACAAATGTATCTTCAGAGCCTGGAACGTGTAAACTTGGAAATCTCAGGCTCCTTGGAGCCCTGCTCTGGCCGGGGGAGAGGGGGGCGGGGGGCAGGGGGAGGCGGCCTGGGGAGAGAAGACTTCCAGCCTGGCCTGCCCCCCACGTCTTCTCACCCTCTAGGGACCACACACACACACGAGCACACACACGTGGACATTGAGCCCACGTGGCCAAGCTCTGTCCACGCCCCCCGTGACAGTCTATGTACTGTTAAAGGATGTGCCGGGGTAGGAGCTTACACAGACACAGGAAGCCAGTTTGGAGCCATCTGGGCACAAAATTGCCGGTTCCTGGGTAGCAGAAGCGTGATGTAAAGAGGGGGTCATGGGCCTTGGATGGGCCTATCCTCTCGGCCCCATGGGGAGGGGTACGGCTGGAAGAGGGCCGGGATGGGACCCTCTGAAGAGCAGGTCCAGAGCTGGGTCCCTCGTGCCCAGCAGGGCCCCTTCCTTCCCGCAGAGCCGCACCAGCATCACGCCCCCAGCGAACAGCACGCCGCTCCCCCGAAGGCAGCGCAGAGGGCATTTCCCTTCGATTTGCTCCTACCCTCCCCTTCCAGACACAATCTTAGCAGCTCCAGCCAGAAACCCAGAGTCACTCGGGCCCCGAGCCACTTTGGGAAGGGCTGTGGGGGCCAGGAGAGGGACAGCCAGGCTGGAGACTGAGGCAGGGCTGGGCACAGCCAGGACTGCTGAGCCAGGTCCCATTGTTAAGCAGCAACCCCCCCCCCGGCCCCCTGGATTTAATGGAGCGTTTCTGCTGTGCTTTTCAGTGTTGTGACTCTTAATAGGCTCCCCTGGCGGGCCACTAAGGGCCCACGCTGCCTCTGAGCAGCTGCCGTGCTGAGCGAGGGAGTGAGGGAGCCAGCCGCTCGTTGGCAGGCCACGTGCCTGTCGCCTTCTCGGGAAGCCATCAAGGCACATCCTGGAACAGGCTCCCAAGGAGGCATCACAGTTTAGTCTAATTCATCACCTTCACAGCTGCTGCTTGGGAGGGAGGGGGCCGGAGGGAGGCCAGCGCCAGAGAGTGAGCCCCGACAGGAGTGGGCGGGCTCGGGCGTGCCTCTGGCGTCGCCTCCAGCCTGTCAAAGGCCTGGCCAGCTGGCCCGCCACTTGGCCAGACCTCTGCTGGCCCTGAGGGTGCTGGGAGACTGGAAACTAGGGGAGAGCGCTGGGTCTCTGGGGCCAGGCAGATGGGATTCACACCCCCTGCGCCATCCACGGGGCATGTGATCTACAGCAGGGTCCTTCCACTCTCCAAGCCTCTATGCGCCCACCTGTAAAGTGGAGGCAAAAGTAATTCTTACTCCTAGGCCTGACGTTCACCTAGGACTGGGCCAGTTTTGAAGATATTGAAATAGCTGGTAAAAAACAGTGGTTCTCATGGCGTGGTTTACAGACCAGCCACAGCGTCACCTGGGAACTTGTCAGAAATGCACATTCCGGGCTCAGCCCCAGACCCAGTCTAGGCATAGGGCCCAGGCACCCATGGTTTTCAACAAGCCTTCCAGGCGATTCTAAAGCAAGCTAGCATTTAAGAGTCCCTGGTCAAAGCTCCCACCCCGCCATCCCCACCCCAGTGGGTCCCCAACCTGTCTTCCAAAGCAGCTGAACCATTTTGCATTCCCACCAGCGATGGCGCTGGCTCGGCAGTGCTCTGAACGTTGGCCACTCGAACAGGTGTGTAGTGGCGTCTTACAATTTGCATTTCCTTGATAACATGCGATGCGGGGCATCTTCTCCTCTGCTTAGTTGCCGCCTATGTCTTCTTTGGTGCGGTGTCCACTCAGGACTTCCACCCATTTTTTAAAATCAGGTGATTTTCGCCCTGGCCAGTGTAGCTCGGTTGGTTGGAATGTCATCCCTCCCAAAAACCTGTAGACCGAAAGGTTGCAGGTTCAGTTCCCAGTCAGGGCACCTACCCGGGTTGCGGGTTCAATCCCTCGTCAGGGGACGTACAAGAAGACAACAGTTCATGGTTCTCTCACATTGACATCTCTCCCCCCATCCCCTTTCTCTCTCTCTCAAAGCAATGAAATGAAAAAATGTTCTCAGGTGAACATAAAAAAACAAACAAACCCTAAAATCATGTGATTTTCGATTTGTTAACTTTTTAGAGTCTTTGAATATTCTCAAAGAGCACTCCTTTTTCAGATGTGTCTTTGCAAACACTTCTCTCCCTGTCTGTGGCTGGTCTTCCTGTTCTCTTGAGGTTGGTTGATTTTTGTTGAGTCTTGAGTTGTCTTGGTAATAGAGAGAAAAGGGGTAAAACAGTGACTCCTTCGGGAAAGGCGGGTATCACCAGCACCCTCCCGTGTCCCGCAGTGGAAACTCCCCGGAGGCCTGGGCGCGGGCGCCGGCTCCAACCGGCCCCCCGGCTCCCACCCCTCTCTCCCACCCCCTCCGAAGACAAAGCTCTGTCCTAGATAAGGAACTTTCCAGCCAAACATCCCTAGAACAATCTTCTGCTTCAATACTCAAAAAAAAAATCAGTTTATTAACCCTTCTCTCTGAGAAGCTGAACAGGAGACTGCCCCTACACACACAAGCACACACTTTGCACGCCCACTCCGGGGCCCACCCACTCCGAGGCCCGTACGATGTTCGCTGACCCCACAGAAAAGGGCTCCGCTGGAGAGGGAGGGGGGGGAAAGACCTGAGATGCTATCGAGGCACCAGGGAGCAAAGCACCTTTTTCAGAGTAAAACCCAAACTCACAGTTCCTACCCTCAGAGCTCCCTGGGCCCTCCCCTGGCCGGTGTCTTGTTTTGCTGAAATTGTGGGAGGACATGAATAAGTACCAGCGGCCAGCGCTTGGAGAGGTCACCAGCCCTGGTCACACTGACTTCACAAGACCCAGAACCAAAGTGAATGAACTGTCCACCCCACCGCCACCCCAGGTGGGGTGGTCCCCCAGCTGAAGCAGGTCCCGCCCCTCGGTGGTGCCCCCCTCCGCCCCACCAGGCCCGCTGGCTGCCCGGCTGGTGGTCTCGACGCAGAGAGCCGCTGCAGCCCGCAGAGCGAGCTGGGCCGGGGGCGAGGCAAGAGAGGCGCCGGAGGTGTGCAATTTTAGGGCATACTCGCCCTTGGGACTGTGAGAGACGCCCATTCGGCCAGGAGCCTTCCCCGGACATGCAAACAGCTGGCTATGGAAGCAGGAGAATGGAAAGCTTCGGCCTAGCTCCCGGGCTTTCGCCAGCTGCAAACCCACCTTTAAGAGAGAGGAAGGGCCAGCTCCCACCAGGAAATGAGAACAGGGCCCCCATTCACACAGAGAGCAGCTTGGAGGTGCTGGGGAAGCTCTCTCAGGGCCCCGTCCCGGGCGAGCACGCAGTCAGCCTGCAGGCACAGGAGGAGGGAGCGCTCCTAGTGAGATCTCAGGGTGGGGGCGCTTGGGTGGCCTCCTCACGCAGGGGGCAGGGGCCTCCTCTCAGGGGAGTCGCTCCCAGTGCCCCCCACAGGCAGCCTCCGGGAGCCCCTGCATGTCCTCCCCAGCGCCCCTGAGCATTCACACACCTTTCCCCGGGAGAAGAGAGTCCACTGCTCTGCACTCTTGTCGTTACCCCCCACAAACCCCGCCCCCAGCCTTGAGCTGCCTGAAGCCTGGGCAAGGCCAGCACACAGGGGCGGGGGGCGGGGATGGGGGCCACCCGCCTCACCCTGTGCCCTCTGGCTGCGGCGGCTGAGGACAGGGCGGGAGTGTGGAGCAGACAGTGACTGAGAATGGCGAGGAGAAGGGAGCGCCAGCAGCTACTCAGGTGCAAAGCTGGCGAGCCC